ACAGATTCACAAACTGAATGTGGAGAACTTGTCATCTCCACATGAAGAGAACTGATTGACTCGTGTACTCAACATCTTCAGAAAGCTTTTCACAGTCCTCGCACTCATACCCGTCTCCAGCGCGGCGGTGAGCACTCGGAGCTGTCTAATTTCCATCAGCCGTCAAAGAAGCCTATTGATAGTTGAGAATAATTCCAGGTCTCTCTAGCTCTTTCAGCCTTCGTTCTCAAGCATCCTCTCCCTCTCTCCTCTCCTGCTCTCTTTCATCGCTGCCACCGCCACCTGCTCTATTTTCCAAACCAATCAATAGAAAAGCCAAAACCTTATCAGCGTGGTCACAGTCAGTCAATCCACTCCGTCGATCTCGGTCCCATCCTGCTGGCGTGCTGTCATCCCGCTTCAAATCAGCATCCTCGTTTGTTTTTCTTAACTGGCATCTCTGCCCTGTCGCCGCTCTCTCTCTTTATCTCTGCTGTTTCTCTCTCTCTGCTGTGAATCATGCCTTCTGTCAGTGGAAGGTTTTTTTGACAAGCGCTCTCTCTGCCAGCCAACACACCAACGCAAACCCTCCTCCTCCTCCTCCTCCTCTCCCTTTCACTCTCTCTCCCTTCTAGCTTTTCTTCTCCTCGACTCAGCCTCCCTCCCTCCCGTTTGCACTCCACACAGCTTCGGGGCTTTAAGAGCTTTGGAGCTGCAAAGAGACCAACTTCTCCTCTCCATCTGCCTCTTTCCTTTCCATCTCATCCCTCGTTCATCATCACTCTTTATCTCCCCCCTTCTCTCATTACCTTCTAGATTTAGTTTGACCTGAGTGGGTTACCCGTGGGAAATCATCGTCATTATACGTTTTAGAAATGAGGCACCGAAGGAGAAAGAAGGACAGTCAGATAGATCTATCTATCTGTTCTGTATCTATGCTTCGGACTCCCACACTCTCTTTCTTCCCTGGCTCGCTCCATCCCTCTTGTAGCCCTCTCAGTTTGCCCTCTACCTCCCACTCTTCACCTCCGTGTTAATGCAACAACACGCATCGGTGTGGAGGCGGCAGGGAGAGTAAGAGCGACACACAAAGAAACAGCAACAATGGGTACGCACATTACTGTACACTGCAATTTAAAAGCATCGTCATCAGCGGCAGCGTTTGACCATAAACTGCTGTGGATGGGTTTATTTTTTACCACCAGGAGACATAACGCCTGTACCTGTGTGCTACGACAGGTACGCGCTCTGCACGCGCTCCGTTTGGTTCCATTTTGTGGTGAATGAATAGAGCAGGAAATGTTCACCATGTTTGGGCAAAACAAAAATTAAATAACACACATTAATAAATGGAAAAGAGCCACCCACAGCAACACAAATTCCCTCCACTAAAGAAGAAAATGTCAGCGTGCTGCCCACGCGCTTTGATTGACAAGTGAGCTCAAGAGATCAGAAACGCGCCGCAGTCACACTTTAAAACCACTGCCAAGGCTCCACAGTCCACTTTAGTAAACGCTTTTCCTCCCAGGAAGCTGCTCTGCTGGATGTTCATGTTAGACGTGGATCATTTCAAATAATGAAATTGCTGCGAGTGCAAGCGGGAGTTTTGACTCTTCCATCCACTGTTCCCTCGAAGCTGAGCACGTGAGCACTGCTGACACCGTCTCCGCAGAAAATCAGCAAAATAAAATGTATACATGCATTTAATTTAATTCCAATTCAGGCTGGATGATCTGTGTGGGGAGATCATGTCAGCAGTGCGCGATTGCTCACGCGCTCAGCTGAGAGGGAACATTGCTTCCATCTGTATGATGTCATAGAAGGGGCGTGTCGTTAATATGGTCATCACGCAGGCCTATAGAGGTTTGAACCATCGGTTACCAGGGAAACATAATTATTCCCTGACTGGTTGGCGACTGGTTGGCGACTGGTTGGTGAGTGGTTGGCGACTGGTTGGTGAGTGGTTGGTGACTGGTTGGTGACTGGTTGGCGACTGGTTGGCAACTGGTTGCTGGAGTTTGCTGTGAAATCATTGGCTAAAACCAGAGGTCTCTGTAGCATGGAAGGTAACTTCTACCTTCCTTTAGCATGTCCAGAAACACGGCATGAGATTGACTGACCGTGGTCTACAGCCAATCAGGACGCAGAACACAATGTGCTGTAAAAAAAAACAACAAAAAAAAACATGCTAAATTGTAGTGGTGCAACGGATCAAAAATGTCAGGGTTCGGATCAATTTTCAGATCAGCAAAAAAAGAAAACAGACAAAAATTGAACATTTACTTACTGAAGCATTTTTTGTCCGTTAAAAACATTCAACTCAAGAATCATTTCACGCAATTATTAAGGAAAACAATTATGGTTCAATATAAAGCAGTACAGGGCTTTGTATCTACCACTCAATTCAATTCAATTCAATTTTATTTATAAAGCACCAAATCACAACAACAGTCGCCTCAAGGTGCTTTATATTGTAAGGTAGACCCTACAATAATACACACCGCTCATTATATCGCACTTCGCTGTGATACAATGAGCTGTCACGGTCACGTGGCTTTCCATTGACCGTGACAGCTCCACCCATTTGTAGTTAGAGCAACAGAAGATGTCTGGATCAGTTCAGCCATAACTTAAATCTTCTCCTGCTCATACAGGAACGATCTTGCCACTAAAGTGGACGCGCAATGGGATATCATAGCGTGGCTCAAGCACGTTCATCACAGTTTAAACCTTGTTTTGCACACAGAATACGGCCTCCCGTCTGCAGCTAAACACCCCAACAGCTTCTGTAATAGCTTTAGCCCGGTCGGCCTGGGTAGCAAAGGGCTGCTTAAATACCGCAAACCCCTCTGCTCCTCCTCTTGGACCGCTAGCGTGGGCCAGAACTATCGCTTGACAGACCCACCACGCGCACCATACACATACTTTTTTTTCTTCTTTTTCAAATCTTCGGATCACGTGCGTACTGAATCGTGGAGTGGGATCGGTTCGGATTATGGATCAAATTTGGAAGTTTGCTGTTTCAGTCGGGTAAGAACTTTTACGCTGAAGCTGGTTTTTGTCATTTTTCATGGAAAATAGTTTCATGACTGCTCGGCTGTTATTAGCAAATGTTTACAGATAAGTCCGTGTCTGCCACACTGACTGTGGGCCACCAAACCATCACAAAGGAGGTTTTTGATGCCACTGATACTACCCAACAATCACTCACCATCTGGTTGAGGAATGCACTCTTCTCCTGTGAGGATCATGTGACCCAAAGCACACAACTCTGGCTGTGTGAGGGGGGAGCCAATCAGAAGATCAAAAAGCTTCCTCTGGTCTCAACTTTTGAGAGCGAGGGTGAGGAGGGGCTCAGAGTAGACCGCTACTCCTCAAAGGAGCCAGCTGAGGAGGTTCAGGTGTCTCCTTGATGCCTCGTGTCCATATTGGCTGAAAACTCCTCACAGAGCTGGAGGAAGTGGGTGGGGAGACGGAGGCCTGAGCATCCCTGCATGGATGGATGGGTGGAGTACTTTCCCGAATCCATTACTGCAGCGAGGCTATTTAGGCTCACTTAGCATTTAGCCAGTGGATGGTCCTGAAAGCCAGCAGGAGGCCTCACTGCACAGTCGAACACTGAGGCAGCAGTTAACATGCATTACAATGATTTCATTTATTCTCTGGAGGGAAAATCTTTTCTAAAGTATTTCATTAAAACTGGGCCAGTCGTCTCTGTGACGCTCGTGTGATTGACACATCGTCTTTATTATTATGCTGGCTTGCAATGTGAGCTCGAGCGGCGTTGACTCTGCGTGTCGAGCCGAGATGGACAGAAACATTCGTCTGTGTGAGAGCAGCCTGTAAATATGTGTGCACGCCGCACAGCTGGGCTTCATAACAGGAACATCTGTGAGAGCTTGAAGCCCCGGCACAAAGTGTGAGGAGCTTAGTGCTTCTCTAGTCAGATCTACACCTTTACGTGAAGTTGTCAGTCCCCCAAAAGTCATAACTGAGGATCTGCGAGGGCAGCAGTAGCAGGGAGCATTAGCTGATAACTCCACCCTCACATCCAAATATGGCCATTTCCTGAAACACAAAAACAACACGGCAGCATCCAAAACACGACCTCTGAATCTTAAAAATCAGGCTCCAGAAACCAAAGACAGCAGCACGCACAGTCTTTGTCATGTTACATATTCCAGTGGTGCTTGTGAATACGCGACACCTTCCGCGGTGCTTTATTCGCTCTGTCAGTCGCGTCTTTCTCCGTCTGGAACAAAAACCTCATGCTGTACAAACAGCTGATCCTCTCACTCTTTCACTCCTTCCACGTCATCTGTAGAAAATGTTGAAACGCCGTCAAATCCTGCAGCCGGCTCCCAGTAAACAAATGAATCACCTAAATCAAATGCTTGGCTGCCATTTCAGCTGAAACAGAACGCAGATAAAAGACGAGGTTTGAGATCTATTCAGCCTCGTCCCAGCAGGCCTCTGGGGCAGCATATGGTGGCCTGTAACTGACACATATACTACAATCATGCTTTCACTGTGAGAACAGCAGAGAGCCAGCACGAATGTCTGACAAAATATATCACATTACATCCATTATTCATTATGATATATGGCAGGTCCAAGCCTCGATGAACAGGAGGTGATCTGAGAAATGCATGTGCAGTAATTTATGCACATGAAGACCCTCACATGCCTCGTTCGATGCTCCAATCAGGGATCTTCTCTGCAGCATTGATCAGTTTTCACTTAGTCTGTGATTTTTCCACAGACTGTAAATGCAAGATGGACGTTTAGTTGTGAAACCAGCGACCGTGAAGCCGTCTGAGCTCAGCTGATCAGGACGCTCATTTTCTCACAAACAATACAATCAGACTTCAGAGGAGGCGCCCCCTGCTGGGCGTTACAGAGAGCAGCTTTGAGGCCCTGAGCTGAAAGCTGCATAAGCATTTCATGCAGCTCACCAGAAAAATCAGTGAGAGGCGGTAAAATCGTTCAGGTCAGCCTTCAGTCTGAGGTCAGGTCTGTTTTGGCATCGGCGGCGTGATTAAACGGTGGTGAGGGCGAGCGTTACCGTGGTCACAGTGCGCCTTTAATGAGCCTCGCTCCCTGCTGCTCGAGCAGCCGAGGATAAAAACAGCGAGCTGAAAATGACCGAGCGTGACTCTTAGTGTAGTAATGAGGTTTCCTGGTTTCATCCCAGGTGAATGTTGTGGGCCGCAGCGCCCTCTGGTGGATGCTCACTGATGCTGATGTGTGAAGTCAGCTTCTCACCTGGTTTTTCATGTGAGTAGTGGAGGCTGTCGCAGTGAAAAATGATCACACAGGAAGCAGCTGCACACTCACCACACATGAATGCATCGTGTGTGTGTGTGTGCGTGTGACCACATATGCATGTCCACCTTAAAGTTTTACAGTAAGTGCAGCCATCAGAGCAGCAGTGGGGGTTAGACCTGCAGCGTCTGTAGCTGCTGCACACGCTGCAGAGTTTCTGATTAACATCAACGCTCACGCTGCAGCTCTGTCTCCCAAAACTGCAAACATGAAATCTTCCTGCCACACACACTTTAATTTGAGCTATCAGTCCAATCTTAATAGTTTCTTTGGGCAGGAATGTCGTCAGAGGGAGAGATTATACACGAGAGAAGAGATAAGCGCAGGCAGGAGGAGGTGT